AATTTAAAAAATATTTTGGTGATACGAAAATTTTTTTTGATTTAAATCAAGTAATTTATTTACTATATATATATATATATATATATTGTATAGGATAATTAGTGATAATGAGTCTGATATCATGTGTAATTTCATTCCTTTGGTTAAACAATATCTCACAAGTATGTAAAGTTATATGAATATAGTTGTGATTTTAAAATATTAATGATTTGTAATTATAATAATGATGATAATAATGGTTTCTTAGTTCAAGAAGATGATAAAAAAAGTGAAGATAAATCAGATGATGAGGATTATGTTTATGATGTTTATTATCAAGATGATTCTACAATGTTAGATGATGAAATTCAATATCAAAATTTTGCTACTTTGTAAGTTTTTTTTTATAATTCAAAGTCTATAAAAAAAAAACAAAAGATCATTGTCATTATTACAGTAATAAATATTAATATCAATATATAGAACCTGGTTCGGTGGTGAAGAAAATCAAGTATTTGTAAAAGAAACAAAGAACCAAGAATTATATGAATATTCCGACGAAGAAGATTCAAACGGTCTGGAATTATGAAATTTTATTTTATCGGATATTTAAGTAAAAATTATTGACGGACATTACTATTTTTTTATAAAAAATTTATAGCTGAAGACTATTATACACATGATTATCCAGAAGAAGATAACGAAGGTGACTATGATTACGAGTATGATGATGATGATGATGATGATGACGATGACGACGATGAAAATCAGAAATATGGTAATTATAATAATAAATTTATTAATAATCAAATTAATAAAATTAATAAATTTTAATTTTCAGATGAATCAAATGATGATTATTCATCAGACGAGCAGGATTACTACTATTAAATTAGAATTTAGAATGGCTTTTTAAAATAATAATAATCAAAAATTGCAATAATAAATATAATAATAACATTGCTATAATTAATGTGCCCCGAATTTATTTATTTTTTATATATGTGATGTCAAAAATACTTTATATATTTCATCTAAAGCTTCCATAGTCATAGAATCTCCATCACTTAACTTCAAAGTATTAATTGAATCTTTAACATAAATAGGCTTTCTCATACCAACCAGCACACAACCAATATTTGAATTGGCTAAATAGATGCGTAAAGCTTTGACAGATAATGGTGAATGGAATTCTTTTTCTTCAGATTCCAAGTTTAACGAAGGCGAAACAATTGATAATAAAGAATCAAGTTCATTATTTGTTTGAAGCAAATTTAAATGTGAATAATTGATGATTGATGATATTAATAATTGTGATTCCTAATTAATTGAAAATTGAGAAAAGTGTTAATTAAATAAATATGATAGACTGTATTTATTATTGTTGTTGTAAATTAATCAATAACCTTTTTATAATCAATGATCCAATTTTCTAATCTTAATCTTTCTTCTGAAGATAAAGTAGTAATTATATTGCTATTGTTGATCAAATTTTGTAATTGATTTAAATCATTATTAATATAAAGTTTAACATTCTTATTTAAATAATGTTTAGTTGCAAAATCATTTTTTGATACTTTAGATAAATTTTCTGATAAGATTTGTAACCATACAAATTTTGTTGTAATTAAATTATCCAATGAATCTGACAACAAAAATAAATAGATGTACTGTAAGTAGTATACATTTATACTTTAAGCCTATAAAAATATATTATATATATATATATATTTATTATATTTACATGACTCATTCAACTCATTTTCCAATT